AAATGGGTGATTTCTTGTACTCATTCAATAGAAAAAATGGAGTTCTAGCGAAATATCCATGTTTTTTGTTGACTAGTACAGTGGAATTGGCCGAAAATGGGGGCTCAAAGTGGGCAAAATAGCCGATGCGTAAACATCGCCGAGACCGCTAATTTTGCAAGAGCATAATTCCGTAAGTTTTCCATCAAATTTCAAACTTTTGGTGTCATTATGATCGGGATCGGGAAAAGATTCTCTTATCTTTTCATAAGAGAATTTTTTTTTTTTTTAAACATGGCCGACCCTGAGAACAAGTCTCGGAGAGGGCCTGTCGACCCTCAAAGGGTTAATGTCACCTTTGCACCATTTATAACATTTCTGGTATATTTTTAAATGTTTATACAGTAGTGAACTGTAGTATATTGAAATAAACAGAATAGAGATCAGCTCTGATATACATTATTTAGGTATAACTACTGGTCAGAGCCCATCGTGAGTCTGATGCATTGGTAAATGAGTACGTCGCTAAGTGAGGAGAGGCTGTATATAAGTCACTTCTAAGGCCCTATGCTGTACTTTCTACAAGATTGATGGACTGAACACAGATTCCAGGCTGAGGGACTGATTGCCTCAGGCTGCTGCTGCTGCTCCTCCTCACACTTTTCTGCTTTGTATTGGACTGATGAAGCCAGTGTGGTGAAACGTTTCTCAATAAAGATTCCTACATGTTGCGTAAGTGTCTCAATTTTCAAAGATGGATTCATGACTTGAACAGAAGAGAGGCTACTTCAGTGGCTGGAATGCCTAGTGCTTCGCTGACCACGAGCTTAATTTTAAGGGTTACTGAGAACTGGAATGGCTTATAAATAGGACTTAAAGTGGGCGAAATTGCCAAGGGGTAAATTGCACCAAGACTGCTAACTGTGCATCTGCGTAATTCTGTAAGTTTTCCATCAAATTTCGTACTTTTGGTGTCATTAACTTCAGAAAAAGATTCTCTGCTATTTCAGACTTTTAAAGTGAACACTGAGAGCAGGATTAATTTTTGGGGCCTGGACAATAAAAGGGTTAAAAATGCCTGGGGCAAGAAATGCTGGAAAACAGCATTTCTTGTATTACCATTTTTTTATTTTTTATTATTTTGCAACATGCTGACTAAGCCTTTAAAGGCAACCATCCTGGATGATACTGCTATTCTGCTATATAAGTGAAACAGAAGTATGTTTTATTTTTCCATCCTAGTAGTATGCCTAGGCTTATCTTTGTTTCATATACAGTACTTGTAAGATGGTAAGTATAATCTATAGTTTCCTGTTTTTCTGAACAGTTTTTACTCATATAATAGAGTATTTCTTTTAAAATTTAGTATGGTCAGATTTCAGTCTGCAGGGCAATGAACCCTTAGCCCCTGAACTGTGGGATACGTGGAAAATAAAAATTCCTGTGTATACGAAGATTTTGAAAAAAACTTACTATGAAAGGATACATTTTTATGAACTGAATAAGACTAAAATGAGTGGAATTTGATACAAACTTATTGTTTTATGGCATGTTGAAGTTTGGTCAAAACTGATGTGCTGTTGGCAACATTAGCACTAAAGTGCCAATTGGTTCTTTGTTTTTTCTAAGCCAAATAAAGTGCACTTTTCATTTTTTGTTGTATTCACTAGTTAACACTAATTACCACATTTTGCAATGAAAATATCCTGATTTCAAGCAAAAATAATATTTTAAATAGTGTGGGAAATGCACTGTACCATAAAAATATCAACATTCACTATAGAGCTGTACAAACATGGTTTACCTTATGTTTGATTTTCTGCCATGCAACACCATTTGCTGTGCATGTTTGTCATGCAACACGATATACTGTAAGTTTGTATTGCCATATTAGCACTGTTTAAAGGTATATTCCTTAAAACACAGTTTAAGGCACAATGGCACACCCCAAAACTTGCCAATATTTTGAGTATCTGTTCACTTGCTTGGCTTTCTGGTTTTGCTGACATACATAACATCATTTCCAGTGTTCCTTTCAAAGAGAACATTGCTCCAATGTCACATGAATCATCACACTTCTCCTCGTACATATATTCTTCTCCACTGTCATCGTCCAAATCACTCTAGTTGCTACCCTCTTCAGAGGTGGAGGAGACTGCTATATCTTGGGTTGAAGAGGCACTTCTTTCATTCCTGGTTGTACCACCATTGCTGCTCCCTTCAAAACTGAAAAAAAAAGAAAAAAAAAATTAAAATGCTTCATCCTCCTCCTTAGGATTGAACAGAATTTCCCAGATTTCGCTGTGAGAAAGGTTGGAGTGTTGGCCAGCCATGGTGAGTCTGTTTAGTGGATGATATTACCCAGGATGGCAATACATCTAGAAAATATAGAGAAGGCTAATATACTGCCATTGACTTGTAAATTTAATGCACATTCTTGTCAGTATAAAATGTGCAAAAAGAAGTAGCAAAGAATTTTACCCTTGGTAAAAGAATGCCACTACAATATATATTGAGCTACTCAGCAACATGCTTTCCCCAGGCCATATGAATCTCTGAATAGAAAGTTATACCTGTCTGAATCATCACTGTTAAACAGACTTGCAGGACATGTCCTGTATCAAGTGTTCCTTGAGCTGCCTCATCCCATGACTGTAACATGATAAAGGTCCCCCTACACCCCCTGGTGTGCTTATGGGTTTTCAGTAAGTCTCATTCAATCATTGGAATGCAGTAAACCATGACTGATCATTCCTGGTTATATTTTGTGTGTGACTAGTTAATGGTCCAAGTTGGACTAGAATGTTACAAATTTATCTCCTAAGTGTGGATTATTTGTGTATCACTCGTCTTCTATATGCTGGAGCTTCCTGAGGTACAGTGTGAGTGGGAAAATGAGCCAAAATAAGTATTAACCCTTTCAGGGTCCGTCCCGTAGATCTACGGCTTTACGTTCAGGGTCCAAACCGTAGATCTACGTCATGAGCTCAGCTCACTCTGATAAACTGTGAGTGGTAAATTTGGGCCTAGATATGAGAGAATACATCTATGTGGTATGTGTGCACCACATAAAACAAATCCTGCAGCACACTGTGTATAATGAGAGAAAAAAAGCCGAGACCGTGATTTTAGATTAAAACAGTGACTTTGCAGCGTTTTTTCGTATGTTTTTTTTATAGTTGTATTTGTGATTTCTTGGTCTCATTTGATAGAATGGAAGACATATTACAGAAATAGAGATAATTTTGATTGGTTTTAGCACTGGAAATGGCTTGAAACTGAGCTCAAAGTGGCGGAAATGTTAAATTTTTGCCGATGTTCAGGAGTAAACAAACGACCTCACGTCTAATACACGCCAGCTGGTGGGTCTAATATGCATTCACAAATGTGGTGATGATATTTATACAATTATTACAATATTGCATAACAGTAAATCTTCTATTTTTTTGTGTGAATAAAAATTCATTATGTGAATAAAAAATCAAAATGGAATTTATTTGTAAAGCCTCAAAACATAATTAATGAACAGAGGAAATGTTAGTTTAGTGCCAGGAATACCTACATTGTTTATTCTGGACCCCATTTTGAAATTGGAATATTTTGAACTTTTTAAATTGGCCAAATTACCAATTTCCGGTCACTTTATTTTGTAGTTGAAACAGTTGACTTGGCGATTTCTTGTGCTCAATCGATAGAATAGAAGTAATGCTAGTGAAATAGCTAAGAATTTGGTCGACTGGAACAATGTAATTGGCGTAAAATGGGAGTCAAAGTCGGCAAAATCGCCGATTCGTAAATATCGCTGACACATCAAAATTCACGAGAGCATAATTTCGTCAATTTTCCATCAAATTTCATACTTTTTGTTTTATTACATTCACAAAAAGATTCTCTACCATTTCATAAGAAAAAATAATTTTTTTTTTTTTTTAAATTCTTGGACACTGGGGCACCACTTCAGATTTTGGCCTTGGACCCTGAAAGGGTTAATCGTGTTGCGAATCATGTGGCAGATTTGACAGTGTAGCATTCAGATGATGCATCAGTGTGGCAATTTTATAATCTTGTCAACACCATGTACTGTACGTATTTAAAAAAAAATAATTTGAAACAATTCAAGATACAAGGGAATGAGGGCATTTTTTGCTTTTATGTACTATATGTCTCAAGATTGTTAGAACTTGGTGGTGGAGGTATGTAGGCATGATACACATGATGGTGGTGGGACTCTTGGTGGTTGAGATTTTAGTAATGCAGAACAAGTAGTGCTTATTAGTTTAGATAAAGTATTGCATCTATTACTTGTGTATTGTATTCCTATTGTCTCGATAGTGTAAATACTGTATTTGTTAACTTAGACGAGGTAAATTATGGCAGAACATGACCTTGGTAGAAATAGTGCAAAATGTTGATGGAACTGTGCTTACAGTGGAGATAGAAATTTTGTAAAGATTATTTAAGTAGCCAGTATTGTGCGTAGTAGTGAAGATAGCTTTAGTAGTTTGAATCAAGCTTTTCATTTTGCACATGATCACATTTTATAAATTTGCTTGCATCCCACAACAGTTGTACGGGGAATGGGTATGTGGATACTTTGTTTGATCGCCATTATGATCGACCAGTAACTGTAGCTGCCGAACAACTCGTTTAGATAATTTGAATATGTGGTTCCCCATGGTTAGCTTTACTAGTTTTTAAGTTTTGTATGGTGTTTTAATATTTTTGTAGTGCCATATACATTTTCTAATGAAATTTTTTATTCACTTAATTCCTATAGTATTTTGCAATTTCGTCTGCTGTTGGGTTTTCATAATCGTTTAAAATGTATGTTATTTTGATGACAACCTTATTTTCAAGAAAGTTTGTGCTTCTAGACGATAGATTATCCAGGATAGTCTGTTCAGTCAGAAATTATATTTTTCAGTAGGAATAAGTTACATGTAGGTATGGGATTGAATAGCACAATGCAGGTTTTATAGTTGAGCGAAGTACTATGCATCCTTTTTTTTCTTTTTTTTCAGAAACTAGAAGAACTCAACAAATTCACAGACTTCAACAAATATCTTATATTTGTCCTCACAAAACTAACTTCAGAAGGTAAATATAGGCAGTTAAGTTGCGTCAGCAGGTAACTATATAGGCTGTTAAGTATCCATTCATACCGTTAAACTTAAAGGGTTTACTTAGCTGTTTGGCTTATTTATTTATTTTTCTGTTTATTGTGATATGCATAATTTCATAGTCCTGTTGGGTAAGAAGGTGTAGGGTAGGCCATTTTATAGGTCCGTAGTATGCAATGTAATTTATTTTTTACTTAATAAATTTGCACAAATTTTAGATCTTGTGATAATGCATTTGGTTATATTGTACTGCTTAATTGATTCTTAGCAAACCTCACCACCATCAGACACTATTGAAGGATTTCTATTATGCACTTCTTATTTTGTTTCTTTTTCCTACTGTTATGTTGAGTTTTTGTCTTCGTTTTTCTTACTATAGTTCCCCCTTTGTTTTTGCCAGATGAACCTACAAGATCCCTAAGTGGGCTAATTTTGAAGAATAATGTCAAGGCACACTTTCATCAGTTTCCCCCTGATGTGGCACACTTTATTAAGGTTAGTATTACATTTTGTTTACAGACATTTTGTTTCAAAATTTTAATTTTTTTTTCTGTATGCATTTTGAATATTTAAGATTATTTTGAGTCCAAAATATAGAATGCTTTTTATTATAATTATTTTTTAAGGTATATTAAAATAATATATCTAATCTGAGTACTGTATTGTGCAACTGGCTTGAAAAATTAGTGCTATCAGAAAATGTTTATAAAACCTTGGGTTTCAGAAATTTCATTATGGGCTTTCCCTGTGGAATTTTCCATAATTGAATATTCATATAAAATTATAATCACAATAGAAAACAGCATTACAGTGTGTTCAATACTGTATTAGATAAGTACTTTGACTACATTATTTTTTGAGTATTTCTCTATCTTGTACCTCAGGCAGAATGTCTGTCAGCCGTGGGGGACCCGTCGCCGCTCATCCGTGCGACGGTTGGTATCCTTATTACAACTACAGCATCAAAAGGCGAACTTTCGACTTGGCCAGAACTTCTGCCCAGGCTGTGTGAAATGTTAGACTCAGCAGACTATAATGTTTGTGAGGTAAATAATTACAGCTTAATTTCTCCTCTGCAGCAAACACTGCCTTGGTCTTCTCTACCAGGGTGTTTAGTATTTATATATATAGTATTTTGAGAGCAGTAGTAGTGGTCTTGGGTATTATCCTTTAGGAATTACCATGTGTTACCCCCTTTTTTCATCCTGAGATTCTTTCCACCGTCCTCTTCTCTCAACCCAAAGAAGTCTGTTCCTGTTCACTATCTAGTCAGCATTTTTGTACGTCATAATGTTGCACCTAACCCTCTTGTAATGTTTGTTGGGTTCTTTCAGTCTCTTTAGTTTTGGCACCAGTTTTGTTATTTGCAAACCTTGAAGTTTTTGTTATATTCTTTGTGATTGATCAAGTGCATGCTGGCTTCATTTATTCAAGATGGGTCTGGCATATCCTGGTGTATATTGTCTTGAAGCAATCTTTGTTAGTGTTTCTGACAGCAATTATTACATTAGCTGAATGACCCATAAGAGTTTAGCAATTGTTCATAGCCATGAGGTCTACATTACTTAGTTTATGCATGACACTGAGGTTTATTGGATTAATATGTGCTTCAAGTGATATGCTAGATGTAGTGCTTAACTCCATGATATCTTTCAAATTTACTAAGTATTTGGCCTTCTCTCTCACTTTCCTATAATCATTGCATGCACTTACCAGCATTGAATTCTAGTACTCCCTGTCTTCTCCATTTTTTTTTTATAATCTTCCCTCTTAATCTTGCATCATCTAGTGATACACAGCTTCAGTATCCTTGGGGTAACTAGTTTATGTATAACAATAGCAGGAACCTCTGGCATTGATCCTTGAAGGACTTCTTTACCCTTGCACATTGTGTTTACAGGTGTTAAGTCTAGGCTTCTGCTTTACTAGTTTCTGACTACTTGGGCTGTATCCTACTATGGAAAATTTGTATGGAATTTACCTTCACCACTTTTTCATCCACCTCATCTATTTTACTGTTACCCTTAGAATAATGTAGTGGAGGTACTTCTAGCATCCCTGGTTTAACTTTCTACCCATGTCCCCTTGTTCCTGCTGTTTGCTAATATATTGTATGATATACCATAATCATGTTCTGTAGTCCTCTCCTCTAGTGTGTCAGGACATCTGGATGAGTACAAATAAGAAGTGTGTCTCTTGCTCAGCAGACAGAGGATCAAACCTCCACCACATCTTGCATTGAACAACCCTTGGGTTCAGTGCTTAACATGAATTATTAGTGTTGTCAGGTTCAGTTCCCTCATATTTTTGCATATGCTTGTAAGGGGGTAGGGAACTCCTTGCATTCATTCAGTAATAAACGTAACAAATGAAGCATTAAGCAGAAGGAAAGAGTAAGCACCATTACCACCAAAATTTGGGTTAGTGAACGAATTGAATCCTTAAGGTTCTGTCTATTTGTGAGAATGTGTTGATATTGTCTTCTGCATCTGTAAGTTAGTCTCAGAGCCTCATAATGAAGCATGGTAAATTAAGCTTAATGGATCTTCTCTCTCTCCCACTGCATGTCTTGCCAGTGTTTGGATTTAGCTCTTATTCTTCTCTGCCTCATGTGCTGTGTTAAATCATGAAGGATTCTTCAAATTCCTGAATACTTTTGAAGCTTTCTTGCCTTGTATGCTGCTAAAAATTCAAAGTTATTGTGGATCTTTAGTGATGTTTGGAGTTATGGTAACTCCAGATATTTTATTCACTAATATTTAGTCTCTTACTTGTTAGATTGTGCTGTTGCTTTATTTCTTCTCGAGTTTCTCTCTAGCCTTACAGTTGTTCCAATTGAATGCCTGTAGCCACTTACATAATCATGTCTAGAGTCATATATCATTGATTTTGTTTCATTAGCAGTAACATAGTATTCAGTTCTTTCTTGTAGATTTTTTTACTTCTGATGTACCCTTTTAGAAATGGTAGAGGAGATATTTTGTTATCCTTGTCTGTTGATCACATATCTGGTGCTCATACTCTTTCACTTCTTGATCCACTGGAGCACTTTTTTTTCTTGCTTGATTTAGTTAATGTAGTTTACTTTGATTGGGTACCATGTTGGATACTTTCTTGCAGTCTGGGAAGATGCAAATTCACCTATCCTTTATCCTTGTCTTATTTTATCTCTATAAACTGCAGGTTTGTAAGATATGATTTCTTATTCCTAAATAAGATTTTTTTTTTCTTTTCCAAGGTGCCCCACTAAATATCTTCACAATCTTCTTCACAACTTGAGATACCAACAGGTTCAGTGTGCTGCTTTTCTTGGTACCCAAGAAAACATGTTACCTGATCCAGTTGCTTTATTATCAATTCTTTTAGTGTTTCAGCTCTTCATCCTTTGTTGTGTAAATGTTTTTCTAATTACTGTTGGTCTGTTCCAACTCCTTGAATTTTATGTGCACTGCCTTGCATATTTCTATCATCCTCTGAGTGCTCATCCATCTTTCTTCAGTCTTATCATTTGTTTATGGCATGTCATTGGCTGTGGAATTGGCTCAAACACTGATTTCACTAGGCATTCTAAAACTAGTGAAATATAATTGCTGATACCACATGGTTTTCTAGTCTTTTACTACATCAAATTTATTCAAAGGTGAAGACCCAGTAATTCCTTGCTGCCTTGTATTTGCATAATCATTTTTTCTATTACATATTACATGCTGATTTAAGTTTCATTCCTGCATCCAATTTTGCCCTCCTTGTTTCTGTTAATGTATTGGGGTTCCAGTATATTAACAGTGGTTGCCATCTACTGAAATCAGTAATTTGGCTTTACTTTCTTCACTGATAAAGGCTTTGCCCCTTCAAATTGTTGCTGTACTTGCCAAATGTGTGCAAGTTCCCTATATGAAGTTACTCTCCTCCTCTGTCTATAAATGCTCTTAAAATCTTCTGACTACCCCTCCCCAAATCTGTGAATGCCCTATTTTCTCAAATCATTCAAGTCCCTTTTCTGAAATCTGTGAATGCATACCCCCCTCCCAGTCAATTATCTGAGTGTCCTCCATTCAAACATCTGAATTCCCACTCAAATCTGTGAAAGCCCCCTTCCCCTTGCCCTCAGATATTTGAATGTCCTCCCTAAAAATCTGTAAGTGTGGTTGTGTGAATGCTACACACACCCAAAATAAGACTACATTTGTGAGGTTTTTAAAGGGGCAGAATCCATTTGCCAGGAGGCTGTGGAAAATCAATGAGGGTGACTGCACGTAGGTGCTCCTCTGCGTTGGAGGTGTGGGCGTGTTGATGTGTGCGTTTGCCTTGGGATACTTCCTGTATATTACTAGCCATAAGTAAACTTGTGCTTTAAAACCAAAAAGGGGATATACCTGGAGTATCCCTGGTGGGTGTTTTGGGGGTTAGTACCCCTAAGGCCTGGTCCATGATCAGGCCTCACAGTGGATCAGGGCCTGATCAATAAATGAGTACTTTCACCAAAATACTAAAATTTTTGCACGACTCCATGTATAAGGATTTTGGTATATTTTGTTGGTAGACCGTAACCACCCAGGGAGGTGCAATATCACCACTCGGTGGTAGGATTGCTGTCTTCTTGCTGCCTCATAAATTCAAGATAGCTGGTACATCTTGCTATTTCTACTTGCACTTCGGTCACATTGCACATACATGTATATGTATAAATACCTATCTGAGTTTTCTGTTTTCTTAATAGTTCTTGTTCTTATTTCTTTTCATCTTCATGGGGATATGGAAAAGAATCCTTCCTCTGTAAGCCATGTGTGTTGTAAAAGGCAAATAAAAAAAACTATTAAGTTGGGATGTAGTTCAGATGATCAGAAAGATGATTGGCATTGTTATGAATGAAGAATGTGCTAGCTCTAAGCAAAACAAAGCTGAAAGGGGTAGAGTTTCAGTAGGAAGAAATAAATGGGATTAGATCAGGTGTATCTTGAGAGAGTTAGAGCAAAGGAAGGAGCAGCAATGATGTTGAAGGATTGATTACGGCAAGAAGAGGGAATGTAGATGTATGAATTCAAGGATTATGTGGATTAAAAATAAGGGTTAGATGTGACCTTTACTACACATTACCCTCAGACACAAAATCTCATCTGCCTTCAGCTGCAACATTAAAAAGTGTTGGTAACACTATACTCTGGTACATTACACTATTTGTGTCTGTGAATAAGGTATTCTTACATATCTTGATTTTTCTCTTTAGGGAGCCTTCGGTGCACTGCAGAAAATATGTGAAGACAGTGCCGAGTTCTTAGAGAAGAGCCCCGACAGGCCTCTTGATACTTTAATTCCAAAGTTCCTTCAGTTCTTCAAACACTCCTCTTCTAAAATAAGGTAATTTATTTACTGTTTTTTGATAGTGTATAAGATTACATAGCAATTTGTAAAATAATAAATGGTGAATTTTTTAATTCTTTGTGCAATATATATGGAACATGAAAGTAAAAGACGGTAATTTTGATGAATTAATGTTAAAATTTTCATGTCTCGAAGCATCGGTACGTATCTATGTGTGCATTCCAGTTTGTTATACAAATATACATAAACGTTAGATTGCACACATTTTCTCTCCACCAAAAAAAGCTAGGGTTGCTAGTACTCCAGGAAGCAGAATTTCAGTACCCATGCATGTATAATTTTAAAAGAATCAGCAAGGAAAATCACAAATGTAGGACTAATGTTTATTACAATATACATGTATGGGTGAAAGAAAACGGTTGTTTTTTATTTTAGAACATCCCCACCGAGTTGCTGGTGACAGTCAGTTCTACTGAAAAGTATAAAATGTTTTTTGTTTAAATATTAGTTATGTTAACCAGTTAAGGCACCACCAATGAAGTATTGTACCAGTTTGTAACCTTGGGTACTACTTTGTTGATGGCGTCTTAAGAGAGTAGATGCACTCGATTTTAATTCATTATTAACCTACAATTTGGAGGGGGAATGTCAAATGGCATTTTCTCTCCAAATTATTAGTTAATGATGATGTGTTCTATCTATTTTTGTGGCATTAATATTTTTTTTTTTAATATTTGGACATAAACATTTTAAAGCATGGCAAGGTCTCGATTATTGTATAAAAGAAACCCTATGAAGTCGCATTTATTCAAATTTGCGCTATTTGAATTGTCGTTTTTGTGCACGATTTGAAGAGTTGGGGGAAAAATTAGCATTAATTTCACACTAATTGAACTCTTACTAATTGAGACCTAGCTGTAGGATTAATGTCTCGGTGAACTGACATATTAGCTTACACTAGAATAGGGTTTAGCTGTAGTAATTCATTTATAAATAGGTAATGTATATTCAGCATTGATTTATAGGAATGTACAAAAGAAAAACCACTAAAATTTGCATATTTGTAGCACTTGAATATTGTGAGTGATGGTGAAAGTTCATTCGTTCTTTTTTGGGTCACCCTTCCTTGGTGGGAGATGGCCTGTGTGTTGCGGAAAAAAATTTAAAATAATATTCTTGTTCTTTTCAGATCTCATGCTATTGCCTGTGTAAATCAGTTCATTATTAGTAAAACACAAGCACTGATGGCAAACATTGATGCCTTCTTACAGGTTAGTTTGACTTTATTTTCCTTCTCTCTATCTGGCATGTACTCTCCTTACCACTTTATTTCCCCTCCCCCTCATTACTCCTGCCTCTCCCCATGGTATGATAGTATTTGTTGTGTATGTGTTGGTTTTATTTTTTTTTATTTCTGTATGTTTTTTTGTCTGTAAATGCCAAGTGACCTACATGATCAAAGTGCTTTGTAAATGTCACAATTATTTCTTCTGCTGATACTACTACCCCTCCTTCCTTCTTGCCCTCTTCTCACTCCCCCATTCACCCAATACTCTCCCTGACCTATCTCATCTCTCCATTTCTTTCCCTCTTTTCCTTAGTCTTCTCTCCTTCCATTTTTCTTCCTCCTTCTCTTTTCCTTTCCTCCTCATACTCTTTTCTGTTTTCTCTCCTTTTAATCTCTTCCCTTTATTTCCTCCTTTCTCTCCCTCTCCCTTTCCTTTGTATCTCTACATTTTCTTGCTTCTGTCTCCCTAGGATTAAAGAACAGTTTTGGAAGTGAAGGAGATGCATGAACCAAGGGTTTGTGTTAAAAGCATACAAGTTCAGGATTAAAGGATGATGAATTTGATGTGAAGTGCTTTTGGGACAGTATGAAAGTTGGAAAGTCTGTGAAAAATTTGGTAGGGAGTGTGAATTAGGAGTGTACCAAAGTATTAGTATCAGCTAGTTTTGATGGTATCTGCTTGAAATTGAGTATTACTATCAGCTAATTTTTATTGTATTTGTGTCAGTATTGGGTGATTTGGATGGTATTAGTATTGGTGCTGGTATCAGCAAGCATCAGCTAATTTTGAGGGATATCTGTATCGGCCTAATTTTGAGTATCGATTTAGTAAAATAAAATTTTTTCGGTATTCCATCCCTAGTGAAAATTAAGGAAGCTAAAAGTGAGCATAGAAAAGAGCAGAGTGATGAGAGTAAAAGAACTAGGCAGTGAAAGATTGGATATTGTAATGGAAGGAATGAAAATGTTTAGGTATTTTAGTGATGTATTAAAAAAAAATATTACCCTGCTCACACTCCAACAGATCGTCAGGTCCCAAGTATCATTCGTCTCCATTCACTCCTATCTAACACGCTCATGCACGCTTGCTAGAAGTCCAAGCCCCTCACCCACAAAACCTCCTTTACCCCCTCTTTTACAATGCCTGCACTTTAAAGGAGGGGTTTGGGATATTGGCAGTTTGGAGGGATATGTTGTGTATCTCTATACGTATATGCTTCTAAACTGTTATATTCTGAGCACCTCTGCAAAAGCAGTGATAATGTGTGAGTGTGGTGAAAGTGTTGAATGATGATGAAAGTATTTTCTTTTTGGGGATTTTCTTTCTTTTTTTTGGGTCACCCTGCCTCGGTGGGAGACGACCGACTTGTTGAAAAAAAAAAAAAAAAAAAAAAAATTAAAAAAAAAAAAATAGATGGACGTATGAAAGAAGATGCATCATAGAGTAGATGGAAAGAAGGTAGTTGGAGTATTGTGGCATGTGTAGGGCAAATACATCAATGGATACAAAGAAGGTGAGTGTACTTTACCAGTGCATATTGGTACTGTACTAGTACTTGTGCATGGGTGCTAGGTATGATCTTTGACTGTTGAAGCAAGGAAAAGGCTGGGGCAGTTAAGATGTTTGAAATAGATGTGTAGTGTAAATTTTATGCAGAGAGTGAGTAAAGTTGTGTGGTGGTATGAAAGATATAACTCAGAGCATCAGTGGAGTCGAGTTTATTTGGTCATTTAAAAAGGATTGAACTGCAGAGTAGGTGATGGTAAACCAATGTCCCAGGAATGGGTGGGAGGAGAGTATAAAGGAGATTTTTAAGTACTACATAGGGATTTGAGCATCTAGCAGGCATGCAAAAGCTCGTTCAGTTGAAACAAGGGGAGACTAGAGGGTCTTGAAATTTTACTGGAGGTGTGGAATACAGTACTTGCATGCAAAAAGATGGGTGGAGATGTTGCAGTATGGAGTCATAGGAATTATGTTCATGCACATATGGCAAAACTTTTTATTTTTTTTTTGGGGGGGGGATGGGCTATCCTTCCTGCCTTTGTAGGAAATGACTGATGTGGTAAAAAACTAATACGTATCAGAGTTCCTGATTGGAGTCTTATCTGAAGCAGCCTTAGATAAACTGCTGATTCTAGCTTCAAAATGTTGGACTTTGCTTTATAGAAATACAGCATTTAGGGACATGCCATAGGCACAATAAAAAAATATTGTTTAACGAGGTCCATGGCTTCATTCTCATATCAAGAAATATACAAAATATTGCTGAAATAGTGGCAATCGTTTAAGAAAGCTAGAAAAGTTTCTTTCAAATTGCATTATGGACTGTAAGTAGCAGTGGCTTTTTCCATAGGTTGTAAGTAGTAGTGATTTATGTGTGAAAGTTCATATGGAAGTTGTAGCAAAGCACAAATGATTCAAGTCTTTAAAAGAGAACTAAAGCAGTTGTGTAATAGATACTAGTCAGTCAGGTTGTGGTGCCTATGTCACCTGCAGGCAGCAGAAACCTGTTCCAGAGGTCACAATTGTTAGGAAAACAACAGTTCTCACTGCCACACAGTCTTTGATAAAAAAATATTACAAAAATTATTGTATGTTAGTAAAGGTGAGCTGGGATCATATAGATAAGCTATTCATTAAATTCTGAACAAAATATTCGGTAAAAACTTGAAAAATTGAAGTCATCCATTAGCTATTTTGAAATATTCTAGTTATGAATTATTATAGATATTCATTGGTGAGTAATGTATAGCAGATACTATAGGGTTTATTCTAAACTGTTTAAATATTATTTATTATAATCACATTGAAAATGCTAGACCCATAGGGGTCATACAATGCCTAAGGAAGGGAAGATATTTTCAACTTGATGCATTAAGAGCCCTTCAGCTGCAATCAAGACATTCTTCTAGATGGGCTCAGATCTTCAGCACTATCTGGCTGCTGCCAAGCACATTACATACTTATTTTTAACCATTTTAATGGTTAATCATAGTCTGTGAGCATATCTAGTTTGAGAGTTTATAATGCAAACATTGCAAAAAAGCTTAATGTGACACTGCATAGTGCTGTAGGATGAAACTGAATATCATAATTATGATAAACCTTGCCCAGCTGTAACTAATAAGTCATGTGGATTTCTGATATTCACTAACTGTTCTGAAAATTAGCATAATTTTGTATTTGACCTGACAGGTGGATTAAATGGAAAATTAATAACTGGGCAGAATGTTTGTTGGTCTGCTGAACATGTGTTAACGTAAGATAAATTGAAATTTAGGTATTAGTAGTAGTCCAATTGTCATCAGGGAGGTTAAGTTTAAAATTTGTTCAGGGGGTAAAGTGTTCAACACACATGCCAGTAAAGCCAGCAAGGAGACAAATGAGCTATCAGTTGAGTGAGCAAGCAAGCAAACGAGCAAGCAAGCACTTGGTGGGGTGGGGGGTGCAGCAGGCTGGCTGGCTGCTGGGGTGATGTGTACACCACTGTGTTGAGTGTGGCTGGCTGTCTGCCAACACCTGCCAGAAGTGTGATGATAACCCACACTGACACAGCATCAGTAACCTCAGTGATCTGCTGCTCCTGGTATTGACATGGAAATGCTGGAAAAAATACCCATTCCAAGACCAGGTTCATCAAATAAAAGTTTTTATTAGCTGTCACTCGATTCACCTGGACATTATATAAAAAAAAAAAGCATCAGAAATCTCTGCTGGCTGGGAGAAAACCTGTTAGTGTTGCAACAAATGTTCCTTATATTCCTACATTTGTTTGTACCTTCTGTAAACATGTTTCCTGCAGGTAAGGGAGAACTTTAAAATTCTTGGAGCTTTAAATACAAGAATGATATTTACAAGATATGCTAATTGGGGGATAAATAGGATAAATTAAATATTGTAATGCCCATTGACAACTTGAAGAGGATAAACCTCAATATAACAGTGAGTGCGTGCTTGCTTACTCAGCACTATTTTAGTTTGTGATATGAAGCTTCTGTCTTTTTTGTTTTGGTTCATATGTATTTCAGTAGTTATGATCATTTATTTTACTTCAAAAGCTACATTAAATTTAAACTAGTTCCTGTTTTTACTAGCGATGGGACAATCAAAATTATTGCCTATATCAGTACCAGTAATCAGATTCAGGCTGACACGGATACCAGTACCACTAGTCAGTTTTAGCCTGACACTGATACCATCATTAGCCAGTACCAGTACCGACACCAAAATTAACAGGTACTACCGGTATCAATACCATTAAAATTAGCCGGGAACCCACTGCTGCTGGTACTTAGCATACTCCTCCCTACTTGTGATGTATACTAGGTTGTTCATTACTCGGCTCCCCCATCTTTCTTACTACCATAATATAACCTTCCATCACAACCTCTCAGTGCATCTCCTGTCCCTCTATATACCCCCTCTCCTCCCCATCCCATAGAACAAACAAGCCATCCCATACCACATCTAATCCTCCTCCCAGTACAACATCCACTCCCCCTTCCCCGTACAATATCCACTCCCCCCTCCCAGTACAGCATCCAGTCCCCCTCCCAGTACAGCATCCACTCCCCCTCCCAGTACAACATTCACTCCCCCCTCCCAGTACATCATCCACTCCCCCCCTCCCAGTACAACATCCACTCCCCCTCCCAGTACACATCACTACCCTCACCAGTACTACATCCACTCCCCTTCCAGTACAAATCCACTCCCCCTCCCAGTTACACATCCAGCTCCCCTCTCCAGTACACATCCTACTTCCCCCTCCCAGTACAACATCACTCCCCTCCCAGTACATCATCCATCCCCCCTCCAGTACAACATCCACTCCCCCCCCCAGTAAACATCCACTCCCCCTCCCAGTACAACATCCATCCCCCTCCCAGTACAAATCCACCCCCCTCCCAGTACAACTCCACCCCTCCAGTACAACATCCCTCCTCTCCAGTACAACATCCACTTCCCCCTCCCATTAC